TGAGAGTATATCTAATCTTTTATCGGGTGCTTACCCTCCAAATCAAAAGGATTGGCAGTGGGGTAACAAATCGGACGCATCGTTAGGTCTCGTATGGCAGCCGTTCCCAATCGAGACATACATGCCAAAGGACCAAGATCTCGTATTGAATAGTGTAAGATAAGAATCTCTCTCTCTCTCTCTCTCTCTCTCTCTCTCTCAATCTCTCAAATTTGTAATATATTTGATATCTTAAGGGCAAGGATTGCAAAATTGTTGACCAAGAGTTGGATAAAATATTCAACAGAAGTGATGTAAAAGAGTTTGTAAAACGAAACCAAGAGTTATATAAGAATATGAGTCATATTGTGGGCAAAACTATAGACTTCATTGATAAGGCAAGTGGTGTGCACGGGGTACTGGATATTGAAATGTCATACAATCACTACTGGACTCATGTGTGGACTAAAGCACAAGAGGAACAGATAGTCAAACAGTTATACGAATCGCATATTGAGGCATACCGTTTAAGAGGGGACAGTCCTATCATTCAACGTCTAAGAGCCGGTGGTTTAGTAAAGGAAATCAACAAAAACTTTGAAAGAGTGTTGAATAATACAAATACAAAGAAAGTATACGTATATGCAACACATGACAGACATATGGCATTATTCATGCAGGCTATGAATATATTCAACGATAAATTGTTACCATTTGGTGCTACAATTTTCATTGAATTACACCACAGGAAAGTCAATAATAATAACGATACCAACAATTATTTTGTGCGATACTTCTATCACAACGAGACTGTAGTGAACACGGGAACACCTTATTCAATACAATTTAATAATTGCCACAAACTAACGGACTGTCCACTCAATCAATACTTTAATTCAACAAAACATTTATTGTATGAAGACTTTGATAAAGAATGCAATGAAACTAATTCTGTTTATAATACATTACATTTGAATACAGTGTATTATATGTTAACATCAATATTTATTTATCTGTACATGAAATTTATTAATTTATTTTAATAGTTATAAATATTATAACATATTAAAAAATAAAGATCATATTTAACATTATAATGAATGTTTAACTGTAATAATATTTATCACATAATATAAATTTAATTATACACTGCATGAATATTTTAACTCTGGTATAAATAACAAACATTTTGAATTCATAGATTTTATACCAAAATAAATTCGATAATATCAATGACACCTATAATTATTTTGTACGAGTTTTAATCAGTACAAAACCATAGTAAACACACAATT